CGAAGAATCACCTTCGAAATTGTTCATTGAGTAAACTAATAAATCCATGCATCTTGTATTTTATATTCAATTTTTCGGGCTGAACTATTTTATATTCAACATTAAATATACATACGCACACATAAACCTTTCCATTAGATTATGGCAAGAAAAAAGCTTTTCGTTGGATGAAATATAAATCCGGGCAAATTTTGGAAATTATGAAGTATATTATGTGTATTATTTAAATTAATTTTATCACACATATGGTGGATTATTAACTTTTAATTATATTATCAAAAAATTTAATTGTTCATTGAATATAAAATAATATAAATTTATCTATTCATTGGTCAATGAATCAAATTAATAAAGGGACATGCTTTCGTTTTGTTTAAATCAATAATACATGCACATCAGCACATGAATGTTAACCCAAAAAATAAAAAATAAAAGGAGATGCATGATGAATCACTTTTGAAATTGTTCATTGAGAAAACTATAAATCCATATTAAACTTTTTGGAAGGTTATGTCCCCGAAAAAAATCTTATGATTAGATGAATATCTAAACAATTTTTGAAAATTATAAATTATATAATATATGAATTATACAAGTCAATTTGTTTCTATGCGTTTCATTCCATTTAGTTCGAAGCTATTATGGGATGGATGAACAGAGCGAAAGATTATATAAAAAGAAGTAGAGTCGATAATTTGAATTGATTATACCACTTTGGGTAAGCTTATTTGAAATGAGCTTAAAGTATTTTATTTTATAAAAAAAATTTATATAATCAAGCCTGGCCTAATTTCTCAGATTGGTCCGAATACCCAAATTATTGTATTTTATTTTATTTCAATTGTTATCTAATTTCAATTTTTATTTTAAAGACTTAATATTTTTAATTTTTATATTATTTTAATAATAATAAAAAAAAGAAATTCAGGTATCCATGTTAAATCTATTTGGGTTTAGACTTGGCCTAAATTTTTTAAGATTTTTTAAATTTATTCAAGTTGACTTGTCAAGTTTAACCCAAATTATACCTCTTATTAAATCTTTCACTGGAAGAGATGTCCCATTTACACTTGACTATGCTTTGAATAGAATAATTACCTTCAATGAAAGATACATAAGCAATTAAAAAGATATTTGTTAATAAATCTAAACAAATAAAAACATTCAAATTAATTTTTTATGTTATCCCATTTTAAATTTGAAGATACTCTAAATAACAACTATTACGTTATGTATAATGATAACAATACAACGTTATCAAACTTAATAAAGAAAGATGGCAAAAAAAAAAAACACTTAATAAAGAAAGCTCATAGGAAATCATCGTTTGAATTATACACTATAAGTTGGTTACAAGAGAATGGTAGTAAAATTCATTAGTATTAAACAGAAAAATATTGTATGTTTCCAAAAAAAAACATAAAATATTTTATTTTTATTGGAAATTATTAAATGCTATTAATTAATAATGCAATTCTACTGTATTGCTCTTTGTATAAATTGACTTGTCCTTCCTGTGGATTTGAATGAAGAAATTTAACAATCACAAGATGGCTCTGAAGAAGTCTCAAGTCTGCTTTGTATTGTTCTTGCTTCTCACCGTCTTCTCCCTCCCATCCTCAGGTATATCTATGATAATTTACAGATTAACTGAAATAAAAAAACAATTGTTACTTCATGTATTGTATTTTTCTTTTAAAATTTACATAATTTTCTTTCAAAAATGAAAAGTAAACTATATAAATCTCCTCTGAGATTACATTATTTTTTTCACGTTTATATTTGTTTTCAAATCCATAGATTACACACATAATTTTCTATGGATGAAATTTAAAAAAATTATTATGTTTTACTTTTTGTAGGGAAAATTTGTGTATGTTATAAGAACAAAAGAGATATTCAATAATTTATATAATTTCAATAAAACAAAAAATATGTATAGTTTTGGTCTTTTCATTCCAGATTGAGTTCTAAATTTGTCTTTCTTTATTCTAACATTGTTAATTTATTTAACAAAAATGGTTAAATAGATTATAATAATTTTGGGAAAATAATATGATATTTCCTTATTGAGTACTCCCATTCAATTTAAATATGAGTTAAGTGAGTTCCAAGCAGGAGTAACTCTTTATCATATTATAATTTTAACTACATTATCATAACAATAAATTAAATGAAAAAATTTCCCATTTTAAAGTTTGGTATTTTTTCTTCCAAAAATTTATGCAAAATTAAGTATTAATTGTGAATTTGATTATTTCAGGAGCGGAAAGTGAGGGAGAATGCAAAGTCAACGCTGATTGTGATTCTAAGTGTACTTATATATGTCCTCCTGGAACAAGTTACTGTTACTGGGATCCCAGAACTGTAGTCAATACGTGTCTTTGTTGTCCTGGCCCTCCTACTAAGTTCTAAATTTCTAATCCTTCTCTAATGTTCTAGTCATTGGAACACCATGCCATCCTCTCCTATTTAGTATTCACCTCTAATAAAAGATATTATAATTTATGAGTATTTCCAATCCTTTTCTTTTCATTGATAAACACTATAAATTCTTTTTTTTTTTAATAAACAAAAGTTTAGGTGAACTTTTGTCATCTCAGTATTCAAGAAAGACAGCAAAATGTACATATAATCAAATCTAAAAAATATAAATTTTGTAATAACCACAACAATAATAGGAAACATTTGATGAACTTTTAAATTTAAAATTTTTTATTAAAGCCTACTGAGTTCAATTAGAAAGCTACAACCATTAATTTTTCAACTCAAATCCTTCACAAAATATCCAAATATCATGCTCAAATGTGGACATTTATTAAGCATAAATAAATTACAATAAAGAAACCAGGGCATGGGGTTGAGTGTCCCTTAACCAAGTGTCAGGGTTTCGATCCCTGTTTATGTATGAAAAAATATTCTCTGGCCAGCTCTTCTACCCTTTGAGGTGCCTGATTATGAGCGAATCCGGATTAGTTTGGGCCGTTGTTGTACCAAAAAGATGTTCTGCCTAGGTTACTGATGTGTAAGCAAAAAGAAAAAAGAAAAAAACAATAAAGAAAGCCAAGAGAGAGGGAAATAAGATAGGAATTTCAAACCAAATTTTCATTATAGCTACTGAACTCTCGTTTCGAACTTAAGAGTTATAACCTGTTGCTAACGTGGAAGAAAATTAAGGCTTCATTGCTCCAAAAATCAGACAGAACGGGGCAAGCATGATGAGAGTAGGGAGGAAATGAAGAAAAGAAGAAGATGAAGAAGCTTGCGATCGCACACGTCCGCATCTGCTCCTCCTTTCTGAAATCGTCCACCTTTGCTCCTTCTGTTTCTATTCCTTCAACTTTCCCTTTTTTAATTCAAGTGATTCGGCTGTCATGTGCACCTCACATGACAAAGACCTTTTTTTTTTTTTTTAATGAAAATGACAAAACTATTCTTAATGACCCTAATTACAATTTACACAATGTTACCAAAAAAAAAGTTGAGATAATAAAATTGAGTACACTTCAAACCCAACAAATCTCCATTAATAATACTCAATTAGTTTCAAAAATCTGCACAAAATAAAATAATATTCAATAACCATGTGTGCAAAAATATGAAAAAAGTACTTGCAATGACTATGACATGCCTCCAAATTCAAAAGTCTTCACAATGACTATGGCATACCTTTGGGTTTAAAAATCATTTAAAGAAGTACTTACTTTTCGCTCATTAATAAAATTCTCACATCAATAATAAAAATTGATCTTATGATATCGTAAATTATAAGTCAAATCCTTATCAATATAATTAACTTTTTGTTGGTCAAACACTTAAAATTCTATGCAAATATTATCATAGGTCATTATCTTAGGTTAACTTTGTAACTTTAGCCCAGTTTACTATAAGGGAAATACCTTATACATTTTATATGTGTATGTATATATATATTTATTTTCAGTCCAACCAAAACAAGTAAATTTTAAAATGTCAATAATATTAATAATAAGAGTTTGTTAGGAAATATTCCCTCCAATCCAAAATATAAATAGTTTTTAGGGAAAAATCAATAAAGTCCTCATTCTCATTAAAATATAGTATTTTTTTTTTTTTTACCTTTAGTCTCAATTACTAATACATTTTATGATGAATGAGAAATAAATTTATACAAGAATCTAGGTTAATAAATACAAAGTGTAAAATGAAAAAAAAAATTCACATGTACTAGATTGCTTATATTTTGAATCAAAATTAATTGAAAGAAAATGTTTATATTTTAAATTTGAGAGAGTAAATAATACATAAAAGATATACATGTTTTGATTTAATTGAAAACAAATAACTTAAACTTTAAATATATAAGACTAAATATATAAATTATCTTCTTACTACAAATATATAAATGAAAATGAGAAATAAAGAACTGAAGGCGTTTAGTTTGATTAGTCGAGGAAGATGGATTAACTTATCTTAAGGTCTCAAATTCAAATATGAGATATGCCGTCGCATTAAATAAATATGCCAAAGGAATTCTTGAGGTGCCTGTGAGATTTCTGCTGGTTTACGATCCAACACAATAAGGGTTCTAATTAGTTTGAACAGGAGGTAAGAATACCCTCAAATTTTCTAGAATATTGAGCGACAGAATCAAATAAAGAATGAGAAATAAGGAAAAGAAAATAAATTTGGATTCAAGGAGGAGATACAACATGTTTAACAATTTGTGGTCATCCTCCTAATACAATGAAGGATTTGGATCTAGTGAGTGACCTAATGCATCAATGTGAAGAAAATATATTCAACATCTCACTTTAGTGAAATTCAATAACCAATCAAATTTACTAGTGCCATATTTCAGCAAAAAAGGATAAATATTCCTAATACATTTACAAATATCCAAATATTGTTAACATTAATTATCCAACAATATAAAATTATCCAAAAACTACTCTCCATTATCTATTAGGGATTTTGACCTAACATATGATTTAAATAAAAAAAAAATCAACACCAAAAAGGAAATACAAGCTTCGTAGGAAGCATACTGATTTTATTGCTAATTGACTCTTTCCATGAACCGATTAGAATTGCCTATATTTAAGCTCCGCGATACATGTAGATAAGGCATCTCTTAATTGGGTGTTATCAGAGTCCATATAAAGGGCGTCTTCATATAACCTTCTAGCTTGGTGTAGCAATTTCACCTTCTCCTTGCTGCTAGATGGCCTCAAACGAGACCTTTGCTGCAATGCTACACCCCATCTGAACAAAGCTGCAATTTTAACAAGCTCAAATTAACCTCCAACAACAAGAAGTCATATCCCACAAGAGAGGGTCAATTACATGAATCATACGATATCATTCTGATATCTTGTTCAAAAACTTCATTGAGTGTTTAAGTTCAGATCAATCTCCAAACAAAAAACGTTATCCAGAAATCATCTAATCATCTAACTAAACAAAGAAAATGGCTTTTTAGAATAAAAGCGAGATGCTGTAAAAGAGCAGTTTTAAGTTTGGCATTCAAGGGAAAGGAAGAGTTTCAAAGCAAAATTTCACCAAAGCATGCGAAAATTTAACTTGTAATGAAATTAATGTCTAGTGTCCCTTGGACTATGATGTGTGTATCTATTTGAAATACCTGAATTAGTCTCCACAATGCAGTTGTTTCCATGAAAAGGTTATCTATTTAATTACATTACACAGTCCATTGACGGTGGTATACTTAAGGGTCAGATTGGCAGCAATAATGGAAATGGAATGGTCCATGGAAAGAACAAAATTAAAAAAAAAAAGAAAAAGAAAAAAAGAAAGTATTTCATTAAAAAAGAAATAAAAATATATATTTAACAGTTGACAAATGATACTCAGATTCAAATGTAAAGGGGTGTATGGTTCCTGTGATCTTCACTCTGTCGTTTCACATAGCGTGAAACCTGGAGTGTTAGGATTGGAAGACAGTGTTTTTGTAAGGGATAGGAGGGTGGCATCATAAATAAAGACTAGGCAGAAAGGTGTAGATTAATAACAGCCAAGAATTTGTCATTTCAGATCAGAGGGCTAAATAATAAATTTGTTTTAACAGTTACAGCAGCAAAATTTATTTATAAAAATTATGAAAAAAATTAAAAATTATATCATTTCTTATGTGTTTATATATACAGAAAAAGGGAATACGTTAAACATGAAATTTCAAATTTCAACCTTTATGAATTATATTTCCATTAACAAATAGTAAACAAAAAAAAAAGATAGTATCAATTTTTAAAATGATGTTAATTAAAACAAAGAAGGGCAAATTTAAAAATTCAAGGAACGTAGAAGTTGATCAAGTGTGCAGCCAAATATTCTCATATATCACTGGAATGTAAAATACCATCAATTGCCATACAAAACAAACATCATGAATACCTTAGAATTTCATACCATAATATATGAAACACCATTATCTGAGATAATTCCAAAATTTTGAGTACATAGAAACATTACCATCAGGAGCATAAATATTTCCTTTGGACAACATCGCATTAAATTTGTCAATTGCAGCTAAGAACACTCTGTCAGCCTCAGAAGCTGCCGCCTGTAATATTTGAAAAGAAATCAATTAAACTAGAAACTGAGCATTAGACAAAAGAATCAGCGTGTCAAAATGGCAGAATTAATTATGCCAGCCAATAGCAAGATGACAAGATGTATCATATCAGATTCTAATCAACAAATCATTTCTAGACCCAATTTAGCTGTTCACTAAACTATACTTGAGTCAGTGTGCCTAAGTGGGCTATACATAAAAAGGTGGAGAGAAAAACAATATCATGGTTCTCATACAAAGTTACCAGGGAACCGTAAGAGAACTCTCAATTGAATAATTGAAACATATAATTTCATGATATCGACTAGACGCATACCGGTCCAATATCTGCTATCAATTGTCCACGGAAAAACAAAGCAAGACCCCAATTATATAGGGCTCTCACATCATTCCCATCAATTGACAGTGCCAGCTTATATTTTCTGCCTGCCTCTATAAGTAGCTCTTCACACTCCTCACATACATCAATTAACATAGGTGCAAGATTTTCTTTACTGGTGATTTTGTTTTGCAGTCGATTCAGGATTCTACTTTGTTTTCCAGATGATGAAGTGACGCTTCCAGACAGAAGCGTTCTAAGGTCACGACTACTCTTTAACTTCAATTCCCCATGCAGAAGATATGCATTTCCTAACTGGCCTACAGCCAATAAACTCATAGGCTTTAAGTCTACAGCTCTGGAAAGTAAATTGGAAGACTTGTACAACATGATTTCAGCTTGATCTTCCTCACACCTACCCTTCATACACTCTTTGGCTTGCTTTAAGAGGTCTGTTGCTTCAACAAGATACTTATCAAACACCATATCATCAGAGATCTTCGAAGATGAAGAGACATTCAATTCACTCTCATGAGTAAACAAGTCATTGGGAACATTGTGGTGATTATCACTGTTCTTCCCATTTTTTGTATATTGAGACCCATATGATCCATATTCCCTCTTCTTATGAGAAGACTTCTGAGTTTCATGAGCACTATTGATCATCTGCTCATGTGCAAAGGAAGATTCACTTTCCATGTATTCAGAATCAAGCAGATTATCATGAGATTCACATATGTCTCTGATGCTGTCAGAATTCAACTTCACAGAGAAGCTGTGACTATTTGAGAATTGCAATCTATTGTTCTGGCGGTGCCTATAATCTTTTTTGTCAGGAAATATTTTGGCACTTCTGTCCTGATCATCTGAATGCAAAATTTCTTCCTCGCAACTAGCAGTTGTACTGCCTTTTCCATCAACTGCCAAATCAGACATTCTCAAAGAATCATGAGAAGAATCCAAATTGCCATATGCTTTATGCTTATGGACTGAATTTAAGGACCCACCTTCAACAAGAGGAGTACTATTATTAGTCCCTCGAGTTTGATCAAATTCTTTATTAGTGGTCTCTCGTGTGACATTTTCTCCAATTTTAGCTGAATTGGAGGAGGGCAAATTTTCTCCAATCAAATTACCAATAGACTGTAGCATCCAGTGCCCAATTTCACCAACTTCTTTCTTTTTTCTACCAGGCTTATGTTTCCCAACCAAAACACCACTCGAGTTTTCCTCACTGTCGATTACATTAATGACAATATTCCTAGCATTCAATGCTGATAGTTTTATGGAATCTGTAACTTTAACATAACCATCCAAATCACCTACTTTAATTTTATTATTTCTGATAGCACTTTCCACATCACTCTTCAAGTTATTAGCTTTAAAATCAAGTTCATCAAAGAATTTCACCAAGCTCCTTAATTTCTCAGCAGTCAAGTTCAAATTTTCCTCCTTTACCCGTTCCTTACTTCTAATTGCCCTTGCATCATCAAAACCGAAGGTTACATTACGAAAAAACCCTACCGTAAAACCAGTGGCAAAAACCAACACAGAAGCTGGAAGCAGGATTATGGACGAAACTTTAACCCTAGAGATTGCCATTGCACACACAAGGCCCAACAGGAAAACGAAAATGTTCTTCCTATCATCAAGTCCAATAGAAATGAGAAAATTACGAAGCACATCAGACTCACCGGGCCCCTCCGACGCACTAGCGAATTCCAGGTCATCCCATCCGCCGTAAATGGCAGAGTTAGGATCACAATGAGCTCTTAAGGAACAAAATCTGGGGAATACAGAGCCATGACTGCGACTGCAATTTCTACCAGAAAATTGGAGAACATTGTGGTTTCTTCGAGAAAGCGAAGGAAGAAAGTAAAGAGCAGGTGAAGATGATGATTGAGAGTTCAAGAGATTAATGGGACTTATGACAGTCACGGTTTTCATCGAAGAATGCCTCTAAAGACGATAGACTTTCGCGGACTCTTTAAGCTGCAATATGAAAGTTGATCATCACTTTCGTCTCGCCCGCTTCCGCATTCCATGGCCGATGAGCATCGGATATTCCCGCTCCAAACTACTTAAGCGACGGCGTTTTGGTTGCTGAGTAGCCAAGGCCCAAGTGGGTCTCGGCCACTGACAGCCGAGATTATCTCCTCAGTATAGTGGAATAATAAATTAAAAATAAAAAAATTGGCGTAGCGATCACGAAAATTATAAAATAGTTTTTTATTACAACTATGAACTGTTCATATCAAATTGAAAAAAAATATAATAAAACCTCACCAAAATATATAAATAATAATAACATTTTTTAAAATTTACAATTCTTTTAAAGTCCTTGAGTCTTTGTTTAAAATACAAATAATAGCCATGATTTTATTTTTTGAATCATAATTTATTTAAACAATTATAACTTTTGTTTTGTGAATCAGAAAAATTGAATAAGAAATCATAACTTCTCACTTGAAAGTTCTTTTTATGATTGATAAATAAGTTTTAAAAATAATCAATTTCATTCACAACTTTTGCTCATCATAAAATTGAATAAAAAATCACAACTTTTTACATGAAATTTCTTTTTTTATTAAGAGAAAACATACATTTTAGTCCCTGCACTTTATTCATATTTTGTTACAAGTCACTGCACTTTTTTTCAATGTTTTGGATCTCTACACTTTCATTTTTTAATGTTTTGTGTTCATCCAAAATCCCTATACTTTATTCATTTAGGGACTTAGAACACTGAAAAATAAAAGTGTAGGGACCCCAAAAAAAGTGTAGAGACCTATAATAAAATAAAATCAAAGTGCAAAGATCAAAAGATATGTTTTTCCTATTATTAATGTCCAAGTTCTAAAAATAATCAATCCAAATCATAACTTTTATTTAAACAATTACAACTTTTATTATGTAAATCGCAATAATTAAATAAGAAATCATAACTTCTCTCCTGAAATTTCTTTTATTATTGAAGTTATGAAAATAACCAATTATACCGTCTTAAAATTCTATATTATGGTTAATGTCATTATATCATATAACTATTAAATTGATGGTCTTCTTATTTTTATTCTTATTACCTCCAGCGGTTTCATGTGGCATCATAATGTAGAATAATTTTATTTATAAAATTGTAACTCTTAAGTATATAGGGTTGGAGGCTTATAAATTGAGGCTTGGCATAAAAGGATTATATACATATCAAAATATGCACAAACACTATTACAAAATATATATTTTACCTCTCTAAATTTACGTCACTTTTTGTAAAAGTGACATAAAATATAGAGACGATGACAATTTTATAAATAAGTTTTAAATATGTAAGACTATCCATGTTCCTTTGAAAAAAAAAGCGACATGGTAATTTATCAATTTACTTTTTTAAAAAAAGAGACGTGAATTGTAGAAAATAAAATATTTTAAATTATTAATTTTTGAATATTTTTTATGTCCTTTTTTAAAAAAAACGTGGTAAGTTACTACTTTGCTTTTTTTTTTAAAAAAAAAGGACATAAACTATAGAAAATAAAATATTTTAAATTATTAATTTTTTGACATTTTTCACTTTCCTTTTTTTTAAAAAGTGATGTGGTAACTTATTAAGTCATTTTTCTTAAAAAGAGATGTGAATTGTAAAAAATAAAATATTTTAAATTATTAATTTTTGGACATTTTTCAGGTCCCTTTTTAAAAAAGATATGTGAATTGTAAAAAATAAGATATTTTAAATTATTAATTTTTGGATATTTTTCATGTCCTTTTTTTAAAAAAGTGATGTGAATTTCAGTCAGCATTTTTAAATTAGATCAAGCTTCTTTCTCGCTCCATCATTTTATATTTTGAAACTTAACTCCTCTCCTTCTTTCCCTTTAACGGCAGCACGTCTCTCCTCTCCTTTCCATTGCAAATCTCTCCTCTCCTCTACACAACAACTCTCTTTTCTCCTTCCCACTACATTAAGACCCACAACATCAACATCTATGGTTGACAAACTGAATAGAGACCTAAGGCTAGCATTAAACGGTAAGTGTTGGATAGATAATTCTCTCTTCTCCTCGTCTCCTCCTCTTTTCCCTATTTGACGGATAGCTTCGAGACCCATGGGATCCACGGCCGAGATCCACAGCTTCTTCTCTTTTCCTTGAGCAAGCAATATTTGGTTAGTGTCACTTTTACCCACAAGTTCTTTTTCTTTGTAGATATTTCTGACTTATGCTTGAGCCTTCTCCATTATCTTTGGTTACTTTATCAATTTTGGTATGATTTTATTTTTTTTTTTTTTAGGTCTATGAAATCCATAACTAGCTTGAATGATGAAATGATAATGACAAATATTTAAATTTAAATTATTTTAACATTTGTTTCAGGAGAAACGACGTCTCTTTTTACAAAAGAGGGACGTGGATTCTCAAAAAACCATGTCACATGACGTGGATAAGTCAATTTTCTGTGTTGCTCAAATCTATGTTCTCCATAATAAGGACGTAAAATGTCCTAAAAAAGAGATGTAAAAAGCTTTTTTTGTAGCAGTGAAACATGAATGATCCCTATTTCCTATATCTACATTTATCTCTTGCTTTTATTATATTGTTCATATTTCCTTATATTTTTATAACATATTATAAGCACGACATTCTATCAAATTAGTTCATGGTAGAAGTTTGAAGAATCTCTTATTGATGCTTATTGATTCTTGTTCATGGCATAGAGGTAATTTGCTCAAATGGAGTGATAAAAATTTGCAAATTTATTTAGAAGAAAGGATGGCCTTGCAATTTCAAAGAAGGTACCAATTTTACTATCATGACTAAATAGAGATTCATATTGAGGTATAAGAATTTACCTTATTTTGTTCTTATTTTGTGCATTCTTATATTTTATATTTTATCATTTAAAAATTCTAGTTTTATAAGAATTTACCACCAATTGAAGCCTTATTAGGGAGACCAAACAAGAAGAGGTCTAGGATTGATTAGTGTACAAAGAGAAAAAAAAAGTGATTCAAAGCAAATTAACAAGCATGTAGTTGAGGGTATGACATACTTAGACCTAAAGTGGAGAAATTCAATAAGAAGGATGTGCAAATGACTTATTGTTTTTGCCACTAGTTAGGTCACAACATGTCATATTGCAAACAAGTTAGTATTTGCACTTGTCCTTTATATGTATTGCCTTCACCATTGCTATAGAATTTATTTTCACTTTCACTTGACCATTTATGTATATATTGTGCAGTGGCCTTCTACTAATAAGGAGCCACGACCAAAGAAGGCTAGGAAATTTGTCAACTAGAGGCCTACCCCACCACCCATTCTTACACCCTCTCAATAACAACAAACTCAAAGTAACCAAGTTACTCAACAATTTGTCAAATAGAGACCTCCCCTATCACCTACTACAACTGACACTAATATTATTGAAGATGCTTTGAAGCAAAGCAATTTATAGACCAAGAACTGAGGTTGGCATGGGGATCTGAGTTAATAAAGTCACAAGAAGGAGAGTTTACAATGTAAGTTTATTTTATAGCTTTGTAGTAGTTGACTAATATTTTCTTATTGATTCCATATAATAATACACGTTACACTTTACATATGTAGCCTAGATTGCCATCAGAGCTAGTATTTAAAGAGGGCATGGCTAAGGAATATATTCATCACAACATAGATACAAAAACAGGGTTCCCCATCCTAAATGAGAGTTAATTGTGAAAAGAGAAGCAAATAATAGCCAGTACACCCATTACGAGAATTGCATCAAAAGGTTTTGGTGTAAATGTTGGTCAACCCTCAAACCTCCCATTTAAACCACCTAGTTTAAGATGGCAGGGGAATCCTAGTATCAGTGGCACCCAGCTTGAAGGTTAAAGGCAAAGGATGGTTGGACAACAAAGATCAAAGGGAAAAGAGACTATCATTTAGTCTATCTTAGGCCTGCCTTTTAGTCTACCATTATTTTTTTTGTGTTTTGTATGCAGCCATTCTATATATGGCATAGTAAATGTTGGCAACATTCTTTTGTGTTTTGCATGGAGCTATTATATGTAGATTTGCCATGATTTCTTTTGTGTTTTCTATGCAGTTATTCTGGCATGGCAAAGTGATTTAGTAGTGTCCTCATTAGAGACTTGACTATGTTATAATTTGATAACTATTTTAATTAATGTTGTTATCATGTTGGCTAACCTTTAAAGGTTTATTGTTCATTCTTCTATTTTCACAGCAATTATATAGTTCAATTTAGTTGTTCAACCTTCATAAATGCATAATAAATACAAGCACAAAGAAAGATTGGTAGATATGCCCATTTCAATTTTTCACAATAAATGCATAAGGACACAATTTTTCTTACAAATTTCCAAATATTCAATGGTTCTAATCAATATAATCCTCAATGGTTCCAAACAGAATGTTAAAGGGTCCACATGCCCATTACAAAAAAGATACTACATTCCTATAAACAAGCAACAACTAAACAACTTGTGTACATTAGGTATTTTTCTACATAAGCCAATTCAACCCAAGGAACACCCGACATAATATTAAAGCACCCATTGCCATTTTCAACTTCTTCGTCTCATCCAACCCACGTATAATGCCATTAACCTCTACTTTGTGACCTTCTTCCTTTGCTCTTCTTCATGTATGCAGCCCTTTATTCTCTTTAGTCAATCTCTCAGTGG